TATTTTAGTGATCACCCGGGTGGATTTTCATCGACTAAAACATCGCCAAAAATCATCAATAAAATGCACTTAAAATGCTTTAAAAATGATTTTAAAAGAAAAACGTATCCAAACGACTTCAGATGAACAACTCAAGCTGATGGATGTGTTATTGATGTAATCGAGGTTTTGTTCAAGTGAACTCGGCTAGCAAGCTTTGGGTTTGGACTGTTCTTTAAAACAAAATCTCTAAATTTATTTATCGCGAAATCGGCCCAACTGACAATGGCGCCGATAAACGGCACAGAAATCTCAGATTTCATATTTCTCACAACGGCTGACATAGTACAATATATGAGCGAAGAAATCGAATAGGCTACTCAGGAGTTCTGTGGTGAATATTTGTTGTATCTCGTAAATATTGTTTGAAGTAAGTACCAATAAAATAATATAAAAATCATTAAATCAGCGAAAAATTCAGTAAAGATGACAAAAAAGTTAAAAAATGACTTACTAGTCGACATCGACGAAATATACAAAAAAACGTATAAAATGGGGTCTTAACTTAAACATTTCTTTCATCTTATTACAAAATTAATTTCTATTCTAAACAGCATTGTTCTAATGTGAAAAAAATGACATTTCATTAAAGTCCTTCCCTTAGATATCATGTTAGTAGACCACTGATACCGGTCTCTCTTGGATTCAAAAATCTAGTTGACCGCTACTTAGTGGCCACATTAGTAGACCACTGATAGTCGTGTTTTTTGAGTTGGTTTCATTACGAGTGGTAAGGTTTTGCGCCCTTGTTACTACAATTTTGTTGACACGTCATACTACTTTGGTGGAACGATTCCATTCCACTCACGACCAAACCTGCTAGCAGGGGCCGAGGGGCGAACTGGGAAAACGATGCAGCAAAGCTGCTACGCTACTAGTTAGTAGTCACGTTAGTAGACCAATAACAGTATCATCTCTAGGGTTGGTGATTACAAGCCTTGAGGTTTTGCCTATGCTAAAATTTTGTTGAAGCTAGTCAGACTCCTCACCAGTCCACGCCACGCAACGCCACGCCACGCACGCCTCGCCTCCAACCGACCCGCAGGTGCGGCCGAGCTATAAGATACGGGATCGACGCAGCAAAGCTGCTACGCTAGTGGTGTCTGGGGGTAGTCATATTGCGATCATTAAGGACCATTAAAGCTATATTGGACCATTTTGTGGAACCCCAACGTCAGAGCTATAAGATATTGGACTGATCCACTAAAGCTGCTACCATAGTGATACTCAATGGTGGTCATGTTACTAGCATTAGGATTGTGCGTTTGTCTTGCTCCATGTCTTCCATTTCACTGCTTGTTGAACTTGAACGTGACACTCCTCCGGTGGAATGATCCCTAGTCACGCTACGCACAGCTTGCCGCTGACTTGGTTGGAGGCCGGTTTCTGAGATATCGGGGACCGTCGCAGCCAACGGCTACGCTAGTGCTGTCTCTCGGGTTGCCTGTATTGCGAAATTTAAGATTTTGCAGCTACCCTCCCCATGCTATATTTGATCATATTACGAGCGTGAAGGCCAGGCGCCCCCCCCCAGACGTGTGCGATCTGTAGTGTAGTGGTCAGATCACTCATCTGCCATCTCTGCTGCCATCTGCATACAGTGCCGTTTTAAATCCCGCTCGGAAGCTCACGAGCGGAACTTGTCGTCGACAAAGTGTGTTCAAGAAGTTCTTGCGTTGTCCCTGCCTCTCATTCCCACTGTTCATTCATTTAAATGACAATATCAACATCCCATCAGCATAAATGGTCTCAAAAGTCTAACGACTGGGAATCATAACCAAGGCCCTCTTACTCGCTAACATTTCACTCTTCGTTGAACTCTTAACATCAGATCCCTCCGGTGGATCTTCACGCCACGCCATGAACGTTCACACCGACCTGCTGGCAGCAGTCCATTGGTTGATGCATTGACACGTCAACTGCTAAGGTCATTTGTCCCGTTAGTGAAATGAAGGTTTTATTCCGGAAGATGGCAGTGTAAATCCCTACTACACAGTGCAATCCGCTATTGAACTACATGTCTGGATTTGCGCGGGATTTCTACATCTAGATATCTCCCTTCCAAGCAGGGCACTTCCTCAGCTAGAGATACGAAAGAACGCGGGCGATCCGTGACCCATTTGTTAGCGATCTGCTTCGGATTTCACCTGGTATTGATAGGAGCAATCACAGTACCGATCAGAGCAATTGTATGTGTGTGTGTGTATGTATGTATGTAATGTATATATGTATGCATGGGTTAAGGGGGTACGTGTTGTTAATACGTATACATCCCCATGCCGTATTCCGGTCTTCTCAACCTGAGAAGTTAATTTTCTCATCGTCGCACAGCAACATACACTGGAATATTGCAAGGAAAACGCACACTACAATCTTGCCTCACCAGGAATCGAACCCGGGGCCGCGTAGTGGAAAGCGAGCTCGATGACCTAACAGCAAGCCACGAGGCGATCAGGGCTAGAATTCTCTTTCTTGCAGTGAGTGAATTCCACCTAGATGCGAAACTAAAGTCGAAAATCCACAATAGTCAGAACTCGTACTTAAAACCTCCCGAACAGAGCACAGCAATGCTGTCTCGGAGCTAAACTCAGGCCGTGGTGGAGGTCGAGGTGCGAGCTCGGTGCCCGTTGATGGAAAACCACCGCGTGAGAGGAATCTCCTCGGCGGGTGGCATTCGGTGCTGCAAGATTTGACGTGAGCTCTCCCCCTCCGGGTTGCCATTTCACCGGTTCCTGGAACTAATATCATCCCGCTCCGCACCCCACGACGCCACCCCGCGCGAGGAATCTCGTCCTTGCGACTTGCTGGTGCCAGCGGCGGCAACGCGAGCTGGGAAATCGATTGGGCAGAGGCGACTCTTCCACCGGGCCCCTAGCCAAGAAGGTTTAGGGTGGGCTCTGGCCACTCGCGAAATAAATACATTTCAGCGTCTGGGGGTGGTTGTGCCAACAATTCATGATTATGGTTTGGTAGAAGCAAATAAGTGAACTGCGTGACACTACATTTAGCGCCAAAACATGTATTTAATAAAATAACAGAAGAGAGATGCTTATCACGATTTTTAAAACATTTTTTGAAAGAAAAATGATTCAAAGTTTTTTGTTTCTTCTTTCGGCAATGCGCGGCGCTACCTTTGTAATTTTGCGGAATATTATTCTAGAAGGCCTCTGTCAATTAGTCCTTAAATGTTATTTTCTAAATGTTCAGTGTCTGCCCGAAAGAAAATGCAGTTACATCTATGGTAAGTCCTTATTAAGGGAACAGCTTCATTACAAATCTGAATGTTTCTTCAAGATAGCAACGTTCATAAATGTATATCGAAATATATTGCTGGCCACACAACCATCATAATTGTCTCATGGCTGACGCAATCTCTTGCAATAAATCTGCTCTGAGGTATCACAAGGCTATCGCCACCCGAAAAATGCTTCATTGTAAATCGTGAATCTTATCTACGCAAATCGACCTCACGTATCCATTTAAATGTACATTTATAAAGCTTTGTTTTATTATTCATAATCTAACTTTTCAATGCATCAACACTCGTCCTCGACCGAGATCGAGCCCACGACTTTGGAGGCGAACACGAGGGCTCTAAATCAGCAGCACAGCAGCAGCAGCAGCAGCAGCGGTGGGGGCGGCGGTGGCGGAGACGGCGGTGATGGTGGTGGCCGAGGTTGTGCTGGCAGCTACGGCGGTGGAGGAGGTAACGGATATGGAAGTGACACACATAATACATCATTACGAACGCAAAGAGGGGCAAACCGTTGGAAGTGAGGTACCCCTGGCGGGATATATCCCCTCCCCTTATGCCTGAAGGCCATGGCGTCCCTTTAAATCTACTTGCGGAGGTGGGTAGTTTGCGAAATCTTCGATTTAATGTTCGCCCTGCGACTTTAATGGCCGACATTAAAGGCTGGCCGAGAAGCGTACCGCGACAACTTTATTGAATAAAAATCTCCGACATATAATTTCTTGTTGATAGTTTCATGCGTTATTTCCTTTCATAGAGCAAGAAAGTTACAGATAATACAGAAGTAATTCTATTACGTGTATAAAACAGAATATATGTCACAAGTGTTCACGTTTTCTGTGAAAATTCATGACCTACATGCCACTAGGCAACTAGAAATTTCACTTGGTAAATTTGAGTCACGAAACGACAACCTACGATTAACGTAGGTTTGATATAAATGTATTAAGTTTATATTTGAATCAGAAGTTTGAAAGTGGAACTCACGTGTTACAAGGACCATAAAAATGTAAAAAAAGTACTTTTTTACAAAATAATATAATCTTAATATACGTAAGACAACTTCCTTTGAAATACCTAGGTCTAATCATAGATTACCAAAGAATGCTTTCGCCAATGTAAAAATACGAACGGTTAGAATGATTGCTAGTTTGATTTCTTTTTTTTAGTTGAATGTTACTGCATAAGGTTACCTAATTTGCAACCAAAATATTTGATACTATTTCATATTTTATGTTAAGAGTGAACCTTTCGAACTCGCATCGAACTAAAAGTACGATACAATCAAAACTATGATCTCAACGTGTAAGTAAAATAAAATAATAATATAATAGTAAAATAATAATGGGCTCCGGACGCATGCGTTCATGAAATCCTTTCAAATTCAACTCTCTGCCGAATTTCGGGGCACTATCGCCTTTTCTGTGTCTGGCCTATATCCAGTGAGTCTTGAAGATACCATTCGATCAGATGCATTGACGTGAACTGTTAAGAGACACTTCGTTTAGACTTTTTACAATGCACATTGGCTCGGAGTCTCAAAAAAAATCTGATCTACATTCCAAAGAAACAATAATTGCAAACGGACATTTCATGAGTGCTATTGATACTGGAACTAACTGGTAAACGTGAATTCTCGTGACCTATATTGCTTGGACGCCAAGAGACAAAAATGGGAAAGGCAATTAAGAGAGGTGCACAAAAGGACTTATACTATACATCAGATAGTACATTTGATTCTGGATGTGTCGAGTATAATGATGGAAGAAAGTTACTGTAATATTGTTCGTAATATAATAGACCTATAATGCGCTTGTGACTTGATCGAAATTGGTTTTTGCGTGTATGCATTTAAAACGTATTTTAAGCTGACTGGCATTTGTCGCATACATTTAATAATTCAACTCGAAATTCTCATCGAGATAATTAATAGAACAATTCACTTTAACTCCACTAGAGCTCACATGTGCAAAGGACGATACGCAGCGCAATAATTTCATGATATTTGTAGTGAACTCGATTCCGATGAGAGAGGGCTATTTGATCACTAGCGATATCATCAGAGTACACCCGCCCACAGGCGCGAGCTCAACCCAGCGCGCATTCACTGTTTACCGACTGCCCCGCAAAGCACACGCCCCCGGGAGAGCGTTGAAGACAACCAACATAAGCTCCGTACAGCGATGCCTTGAGCTCACGTGGGATTTCGAAAGCGCAATACCATGAATAGCAACGCCACAGAACTCACAAACGTATCCAAAGAGAGTCCTTTGATGTTCAGAAGTGGGGAATCCAGGGCTGTGATCTGCTTGTTCAAGGGAGGATTGTAGACTCAATACTTTAGTCGTTGATGCACTCTCCTAATTCCGCACTAAGAGACAACATGTTTAGGCGGCTCTGGTTCATTACTACTCAAATCATCCGTGCTCTTCCCTTTTTTTGCATGTTAGTAGCTACAGCATTTTTACTGACACATAAAATTGGTTTCACGTACAAATCGCACCCAAACTACCAATGAGATGCTGTTGTAAATCACAGCGATAAACTAAAAATGTTGACAAAAATAGTCTTCACGAATACTACGATAACATAGCACAATACATAGGGAAACGCTGTTCAACGGTTCTTTACGTACCAAGAAAACAAAAGGCGCTATGGCATAACGTAATACGTGAATCGCAAATATTTAATTGGCGGGCGCCCTCTTCTTCAGAGCCATGTTGCCTAATCGTCAGAAAGTACGCTCTGGGAATAGGAGGAATGGCATAATCTAATATTTGCATTTTTTCAGTGCAAATAAAAGGATTTTTAATGTTTTTGAATTTTTCCACTTTCTGGGTATCTAACGAGACTATACACACACCTTAAAAGACCGGAGGCTGCATAATTGTCTTAAAAGTTCTTGGAATATCAGAAATTAATAATGTTTTTGTATTTCTCCCGTGTTTCTGGGTATCTGACGAAATTACAGGCACCATTCAAAGGTCTGGAAGCTGTATTTTTTCTTTCAATTTCTGTGCGCATTAGTAATATATATATACATGAGGGCGTATATAGGGGGGAAAAGGCGCTCATAGCCACGGAGTGGGGAAGCCACCTAAATAAATTGCCTTCTCTATAATCATGGAGGCACACACGCCTTTAGTGAAGAGTGAAGGCCAATATCCTCATCAAAGTTCTGAACGCTGCCTTTACAGAGATTCTTTTTCTGTCAATGGCCACGGTTTCAAAATATACAGGTGGCTGCGGGAGCAGGAACCATTAAGTCCTCAAAACGTATGCTTCTAGCCCCAATTGAGAGCGTAGTTTGAACTCGCGATTCCTATTACAGAGACACGACGACAAAGCATCCCTTCAAACTCTGTTCAAAAGTTACTGCGGCAGAATCAAGAGAGGAGTCTTCCAAAAAATCTCAATGAAGGGAAACTGAGTTGTGCGAACAGCGTTTTTGGTAACATATCCGCTGGAATCTTTTACTCAGATGAAATTAGGACTACGCAAACTTCATTATATTTTTCTCAATACGCAGCACATCTAATATTAATAACACTTATATGACTTACTGACAACAATTAAACAAATAATTTAAACATTGTTTTATAAAAAAAGGTTCATAAGATTTATTTTATTATTTTCTCTACAACTATCATTTTCAATTTTACAAATAAAAAAGATTAAGAGAAACCAAATCACTGATTTTATTGCACAAAAAATCGAATTGCGTTCATGCCAATTATATGAAATTTTAAAAGAGGAACAAATTTGTAATTTATTGTTAGAAACAAGTAATAAATATCAACTTGATTATTTTAACAAAAAAAAATTGTTATGAATGAGAAGTACATTTTGGTTATGTATGCCAATCAGGCGCCGGAGCATTCTCGTCTCTCGACCCCTTGATATTATGGATACCCTCTAAATACTATCGACCACGCAGGCATTCCCTCGACTAGACCGAACACCCGATCCGACTGTTCGAGCAGAGCGCGGCACAGCTACGCGCGTTAAGTGGTGTACCTGCAATACATTCGAAAAGCAACTGGAGCGAGCCAAAGAAAGAGGAGACTTGGGCCACGAGAAATGGCAAA